GGGGCGGGGGGCCGGGCCTCTCCTCGGCCCCGGGCCGCGCTCATGGGAGCAGCCACGCCGCTCGGGACGTTTGGGAAGGGGAAGAGGAACGGAAGGGGGAGCAGCGCCGGGCATGGCCGGGACCCGAGCCTGCCAGCCGGCCGCCTGTTGCATGTTCTTGACCGCGGTGCGGCGCGGCGAGGCGTAGCTGGCGAGCTGGCGTAGCGACCCCTCCAGGACCCCGGACCCCAAAACCCCTCGCCCCGATAACTATCGGGCGATTGAGGCATTACCGGCGGCGTGAGGACCGCAGCTCCGCGCCAGGTGCAGGCAGGCGGTGCAGGTGCATGCCCGCGCAGCGCCGACCTTCGAGACCCAGAGCCCTGTGGTCGCAGGTCGTGGTCGCAGGTCGCGGTCGCCTGCAGCTGAGCCGAGCCGACCTTCAAGGTTCTTCCTCCCTGCAGTTCGGGGCGGGGGCGGGGCGGGGCGGGGCGCCCTGCCTAGGTGAGGTCGACGGGGAAGTGCCGTTTTGGCTGGCCCGTCCACGTGAGACGAAACGCCTCGTAGACATGGAAAGGACGAGGGGCCGTGCCCGGTGCTTGACCTGCGACTGGTTAGGGCCCTTTCTGTCTCTAGGATTCTCTGCGACTGGCAAGCGAAACTACTCCCCCACCCCTGACAGCATCTCAGTCGCAGACGTCCACAAACGCGGGGCCTTCTTCTGCACACGATTGGCAGCCGCATGGACGGCCGTCCTCCTACACACGGCTGCTGGGGCACTGCCAGGAAGCGCGTCATCGGGCACGTCAGAGACCCCAAGAGAAGTCCTCCTCCCCCACTGCTCTGTTCCCTGAACTTGTGATACACTCTAGGGTCATGCTATATGTCCTAATGAGCGGGATTGAGCAACAGGTGTGTGTTACTGGAGACTTGAATGCGCCTGAGATAAGCATATGGTTATGTGGGATAAGATGGATAACATTTGGGCATTCCGAAAATATTTACTGACAAGCAATAGACACGCAAGAAAAAACCTGCAAGACATAGACTAGAGGGCTTGTCTTCCTATGGGCATGGGTTCAGTTTGTAGGAATTTGAGGTTAGGTTGCTCTACTTTCAAACTGTCATTCAATATCAGATTTTCATGGTACATCAGGAGTTTTAAATTAAGTCAGGATAGCGCCAAAATATCAAATCCACTTTTTAAATAGAACCTCAGGTAACGAGTGTAACATTCAGATTTCATACTGTTAGCTTAGTTCAGTGGGGCACAAAAAAGCAGATTCAAGAAAGAGTATTTAAAAAATTATAGGATGCATTACACACAATGAAATGAACAAAGAAACGAAAGAATCCTACTAGCTTATTGGAAATAAGTGTCAATAGGCTTAAATAATTACAAGATGGATACGATTCCCATACAAGCCTTGGATTTTGTCAAACAAGAAGCAAACTTATCAATGAGTTCAACCGCTTGGTAAATCAGTTCTGATATTCCGACTAGAAAAGACGGATTAGCAGTCCAAAAGTTAGAGCATAAATTGAATCAGGTGGAACAGGTACAAGAACTTTGCTTACAATGAATGAATTAAGGAAAACAAGTAGGTTATAAGTTTGTTTTTTGGTTATTGTAATGCAGACAGCAAAGAAAATGTTAAATGAATACAATGTTAAAAGGGAAGAGGAAAACGATTGAATCAAAAATGTTGTCCTTTCAAAAGATCAAGGTGCCGGGAGATAAAAGACACACCAAGGTAACAGGTAGGCACGGTAGAGTGCTAGCCTGATAGCGGCGGGGATGTCTGCTGAAGACGTCCCGCAAACTCTACTCTCCACTGGGTTGTCGCAACCGGACTCGTAGGTTGTACCATCACTATCAAGACAATAATACAACCAGATCATACGTAGAATGAGTTAAAATTTACCTGGTAGTAGCTCGATTCAGCCATCTTGGAGTTATCCAACTCTTATCGGTTTCACACACGGAGGACTTTCTTTGAGGTAAATACCATTCGAAACTTAAGTCCATCAACAGTCTTTAGCATGCACATGCCACTAATCACAGGCAGGTTTCACACATGTTACGGAAAATGATAGTACTACACAAAACCTAACAAAAACTTTTAAAACCTAACTGTTTTTCAAATGTACACCATTCACTACGAGCTGTGTTGTGCCACTGACTCATACCCAATCAGATTCTTCAAGGAGTTGCGATGATGTGCGTGTCAGATCTACTTTTGTTCAGATACATCTACTGGGCCGTTTTTATAACTTTATAGTATAGTTCCCCAAAAGAAAATAGACTAATTTTTGTAAAAACCTTCCCTGTTACGAAAAAAATCTATATTGGAACGAACGTGACTCATATACGTGTCAAGTTGAAGATAATACGAAAAACTGTGCGAGACTGTACAGAAAAGAACATTTTGGGATATTAAAAATATGGCCAAACGGTCTTTTCGTACCGTGCTTCTAGGGCAGAAAAAAATTATTCAGTCCAAATTCGTCAAACAGAGAAACTGTGTTTCAATGTCATCGTCATAAAAGAGTTTAGTTTGGGTGAGATATTTGACATGGTTGGGTTGGTGTGCTTCTTTTCATACCTTCGTTGTTGGTAACGATGACAAATTCCTGTGTTGTTATTCAGCGCAGAATATTTGTTTATTTTTGAGTGTGAGTTTTAATGTGAAGTGAAGAAGACAGGTGCAATTCTCAAGAACTAGGATTAAAAAAAAAAACGAAAGGAGTTTACACTGCTTTACCTTAGAGCGTTATCGAGGAAGGATACCAATCCATGCTTTACCCATGCAATTTAAAATAGAAGTGAGCACTATATGTTGAAGGTTCCTTCATCATGACAGAAGAGGTAAAACCTGATGTAATTAAAAAGACACAAGATTCTTTGAAAAAGCATATTAAAAAGCCACCACTTACTGAAAAATTACTGAAGAAGCCTCCATTTCGATTTTTGCACGACATAGTTACCAACGTTATTAAGGAAACCAGTTTTCTGGATGGTTTGTTCACTGTAGAAGAACTCAACCATGAAAATATAAAGGACCGAGATGGAAAAATAGCATTTTTGGACAAACTCATAAGTGCAGTAAAAATAATTACTGGAATTCCCCTTTCTGTGAGAGCTACAAAAATTGTGGCAGGTCATGAACCAACAAAAACTAATGAACTACTGCAAGCTATTGGACTTGCTCTGGATAAAAAACTTGATTCCAGAGATGTTGCTCAACAACTACGTAAAAAAGGCAACAAAAAGTCTGATGCTCCTGACAGCAAGAAATCTAGTCCGAGGGAGGGGAAACAAGAGAAAACTGACGCTGGGAAATCAAAATCCCAAGAAAAAGTTTCTAGTCAAACAGAAGAGGGTTCAGACAAAAAGAAATCTAATACCAAACAAGTGAAAGTTGGCCAAGAAGCAGAATCATCAGATAAAAAGAAACGTTCATCATCTACATCAAAACAAACAAAGTCGAAGGAGCCAAGTAAAACAGTGAGATCTAAAAAAGAAAATATTACATCAGATTCTAAGGCAGATCTGCCAAAGGAGATGAAAGAAGAAGCTGTTGGTCAAGCAAAATTGCCTGATAAAACTCCTTCAAAACAGGAAATTTTAACTTCAGAGGCTGTTCCCACTGAGGTAGAGCAGAACAAAACTCCATCTCAAAGGCGTTCCTCATCAGCAAGGCAGCAGATGGAGGAAAACCCTGGGCTACCCCCCCAACAACCATCAGCAACACCAATTTCCCCTAAAAAGCAAATAGAGAGAAAGAGTTCATCGCAAGAAAAGGAGGACTCAGCCCTCACAACTTTACCACCATTACAGCCTGATCAATCCACCATTGGTGCACCACCCAAAACCCACACACAACCCCAACCATCCACAAATTCTACGCGAGCTCCCTCTGCAACACCTGCTCAAACTTCTAATTCACAGCAGGGACAACCACAAGCGCCCGTTCCTGTGCCTTTGGCTAGACCAAGAACTGCAGCCCGTGTAGGAAGTGCCCGGCCTGGAGCACCCAGAGTGCGTAATAGAGGAGAAGCTCTTGTTGTTAATGAAGAAGTGAAAGCAGCCCCTGTAAATTTGATAGTAGAGGATGAAAATGCCAAGATAAGCCATGAAGATGAGGACGAAAATCTTGTTGTTGTGGAGAGTCCACCAGTTGACGGCATACCAGATGACCTGCAACCATCAGCACCAGCTATGTCTCGTCCTTCAAGTCAGCAGGGCCATTTGGTTGCACAGATTTTGGAAACACAAAAAGAACTAGAAGTTGGTAATGGTGACAATGGGGAAGTCAATCAGCACCACACCGAAATAGAATGGGAAGCAGGGAGGAGGAGGGAGAGGGAGACAGCTGTCAAAGAAGTGGACCGAATGCGCTCTCTAATTCAGACACTAACAAGGGCAGCGCATCCTCTTGGGAAACTTCTTGACTCCTTGCAGGAAGATGTAGACAATATGCAGAGAGAGCTAAGCCAATGGCAAAATATGCAAAACAGTTTAGAGGAGCAATTACAAATGGAAGAAAAACTAAGTGCACAAGCATCACTACCTCTCAAAGAACAGTTAAAGCAGTTACAACAAGCTGTACGTTTAGAATTAGATCAAATAAGTTCAGCTAAAGCAAACATAATAAGCAATGATGATCGCATCAGGAGACTGTTAACTAGCGGTCAAAGTTAATTGCTCAAAGGAATGTGCAACCCCAATTAAACAAAAATAAAAATACTAGAACGGGAAATGTAGATGATTAGTGTTAATTGTTGTTTCTATGTTTTCACGCGCACTCTCTCAAATGGATCTCACCTGTGATTGTTATGAAATAAAACATATTTAAAACGTGTCTAAAGTGGATGAGTATTTATATGTCACACATAAAGTCTGAGACACCGTATACTAACAAAAAACAAAGAATGATTATGCATTTATCTGCATTTTCCCTCGACAATGAGAAGCACACGCGATCTGCCATCGATTCTCAAGCAGTAAGCGAATATTTGCACTGTTCAGGCAAGGCTTCAAACACCCCGGCATTCGTCAACATGCGCGCAGGCGATAGCGGCAAGGACACCAACTAGCGTCTCCAAAACTAACGTTTGAATCGGGTTCTATTTGCATTTATTTTGCTAGTTTGGCGTAATATAGCGCATTAATATTATTGTAAATCATAAAAGAATCCACATTTATAAATTTTATCCACTTTAGTTGAAAATAATTTTACGCGCCCTCAAAATAAGGGTGGCTACCTTGGTAGCTTTTGAATTTAGCGATGGTTTTGTTGTTGGAACAATTCTGGCACTTTATTTGATTTTGACACAATGGTGTTGTGTTTTTGTTAAGTTTTGAGTGTCTTGTCTTTAGAATGGAAGACGTCGAAAATCAACAGAATCTCGACGAATTGTGGAAACATGTTTGTATTCTGTTTCCGATTCTATGTCATGAGGTAATTGATATACTATGTTGTCAATAGAAACACCTCCAATTAGGTTATGTTTACATTGTTCAGCTTAAATTTTTTTAAAAAAATAGTAATTATATTAATAATTATTATTTTATTTTGTCTTTATTTCTTAGAACCAAGACCAAAACAGACAAGATTGCCCAAGCGATGAACTCTCTATTATGCAAAGTATTGTCGGTCAAGGGCAGGAAGCAATTGTTGAACAATTGGTTTTAAATGAAATTGAAACACAACTTCGAAGAGATATTGTTCCCACTTTCTGGAGGCATTTCTCCGATGATGAGATTAAAATCCATGGCTTAGAAGGTTTCAAAGGAGCAGTCGATTCACTGTATGATTCATTGTCTACTATTGTACCATTCCTTCAAACTCTTGAATTGTTGCGACAAACTGCACAATCAGAGAGACAAGTGTATGGGCAGCTGTCGCTTATGGAAACGTTTAAAGTTATGGTAAGAGCTTCCTTGCATTCTCAGCTCCCTCTTGACTATCAAGCTATCACTGAAGACTTTTATAGAGTAGCTTTCAAAGTATTTTGCAATTCTGAAAATAAAGAAATAGATCAGAATGAATCAGCCGAAGATATTGTACAATGTGCTGGTTGCTGTCATGAAATCGAATTTTGTCAATGCCAAACCATAATTGAAGCATTTCATGATATTAATGGGTAAGTATTAGAAACCTTTAATATCTTACTGACTAAGTATCTAGTCACAAATTATTTGTATTTGCAAACCTTTCAGAAAACTACAAGAGTTAGATCTTTTAGAACGTCTAGCAGGAGACGTTCTAACAACTATGATTCATAGAAGAATTGAAAACCATGTTCAAGAGACGTGCAAAGGTAGCTTTGATGTCTCACATATTGGCTCACTTGAAGTGGTTTGTATTCTTCCCATATACAGAAATAATTTTATTTAATTCACTTTAGAAAACAATTAACAATTTTGTTTTCAGTGGCTGGACACAGTGGTCATGGGCTGGTTAAGTAGGATTTACAGTTCAGGGTCTTTTGGTTTTCGAGAATCAGAAAACAAAGAGACTCATTCAACTGTCGAAACACTATCAAAAATGAAACAAACTCTGCGTCATTTTTTGTATGAGACTTACACAAGAACACGCATTGATCAACTCTTCAATATCATCATTGGTAAGTTTTTGTCCATCTAAATCACTTCTCTTAGCTATTCATAGTGGGAACACTTTTTGATCCCTATTTAACCTTTATTGTTTATCCTGTCTACCAGAGTATCCTGATTCTGAACCAGCAGTGGAAGATTTGCGTATTTGTTTACTAAAAACTGATTTACGTCAACACTTGACCCAAAAACTTCAGAGGGCTCTTGAAACTCGATTACTTCACCCAGGTGTGAACACACCTGATATATTAACAGCATATGTTGCAGCCATTAGAGCATTACGAACATTGGATCCATCTGGGGTTCTGTTGGATACTGTTACTCAGCCAGTAAGACAGTATTTACGTTGGAGAGATGACACCGTACGTTGTGTTGTAACTAGCCTCACAGAGGAAGGCCCAAGTGAGCTAGCAGAAGAACTTTCAAGGGGTGAAGCTTTACAACTAGATGATCTTACTCCATCAGAAGAAGACACAAAAAACTGGGAGACCTGGAATCCTGATCCTGTTGATGCTGACCCTTGTAAGAATTGGGGTTCATTTAACTCCCTATTTTATACTTTAACATTCTAATTTAAGTGAATTTAGATACTAACATTTTGTTTTCCTCATTTAATGAAACCATTTAGCCAAGACATCACAAAGCAGAAGAACCTCTGATATTATTTCCATGCTTGTGAATGTATATGGTAGCAAGGACCTTTTTGTTAATGAGTATCGTACATTGCTTGCTGACCGCCTTCTTAGCTCATTAAACTATAATACAGACAAGGAAATTAGATATCTAGAGCTTCTAAAACTCAGGTATGATAAATTCCAAATTATTACGTGTATCTTCCCTCAAATCTTGTCTTTAAACTAAATATTATTTGGTAATATTTTATGTGTGATTATTTACTTTATCAGGTTTGGAGAATCTCAGTTGCACTATTGTGAAGTAATGTTGAAAGATATTTATGACTCTAAAAGAATCAATACTCATCTGCATTCTGATACTAATTTCAATTTAGACAACCAGGTCTGTAGCAACATTTACTATTATTTTTCTTTGAACTCAAATCAGATTATTTCCTTATCCATAGATATACAGATAACTTACAACTCCTTTATTTCCAGGAGTTTGCCATCACAGCAATGATTTTGTCAGCACAGTTTTGGCCCCATTTTAACAAAGAAACTCTTGAACTTCCGGAATTTGTGCAGGAGCACTTGAATACCTACACTAAAGCCTTTGAGACCTTGAAAGTAAGTCAATTTGTATTAATCTAAACAAAATTTGACTCCATAAAAATGTTTATTTCTTCTCATAGTGTCTGATTATTACTTTGTGCTTAAGGGTAACCGAACACTAAGCTGGAAACCTCAACTTGGTTCAGTAAATTTGGACATTGAATTAAAAGACCGAAAAATCAACCTTACAGTGTCTCCCATTCATGCTACAATAATTTGGCACTTCCAAAGCAAAAGTAATGAAATTTTGTTGTTCCTAATAAAAAAGAAAACAATTTCTGATATTGGTTTTTAAGTGTTAAAGTGCATGTTCAATTAATTTTTCAGACCAGTGGACTATAGAAGAATTAAGTCAAATCATGCATGCTCCAGCAACTTTGGTGCGAAGGAAAATCACATATTGGCAATCACAGGTAACAATAAAACTCTCAAGAATTCCCTTTAACCTCTGTGTCTGAAAGTAGTAGTATGATGTTGCATCTGTTACTACATTTTAAAAACTTCTCTTCTCAGGGGTTGTTGCATGAAATAGGTCCAGATTCTTTTGAATTAGTTGAGGAAAGTGGACCAAGAGTTAAAGGTCACATACCATCAGAAATAGTATGTGATGACGAGGAGACTGAAAGTGCTATGGCATCAGCTCAAGAGCAACGAGAAGAAGAACTCCAGGTAACTGATTTCCAAAACTTTTTACCACTTTATGTAGAAATGAAATTGTTGTTTTTGTTTTTTGTTTTTTTTTTGTTCCATAGACAACTAGCACACTTCCTTGTAATAATTTAACATTATTTGCTCTTAAAGGTGTTCTGGTCGTATATTGTTGGCATGCTCACCAACTTGGATTCAATGCCTTTGGAGCGTATCCTCCAAATGTTGAAGATGTTTGCTCTTCAAGGACCTACTACTATTGAAGTTGGTCTTCAAGAACTCAGACATTTCTTGGACCGAAAAGTAGCAGAAGAGAAGCTTTTATTCTATGGTGGAGTTTACCGTCTTCCAAAATCATAGCACTTAGATCTGCGTCGTGGAAAATTATTTTGTGATATTAATGGTGGCTAAATCATTATTTTGCTTAGTTTTAATTGGCTTAGTCAATCAGATTACTTTATTATATCTTCTGTCAAAGTAGAAGTATTCAATCAGTGACTTTTATAAATCCCTATCACTAACACTGGTGATAGAGGAATGTGAAAAACAATGAATTAAAAGTAACAATAATACAATGTTAACGCTTTTTATACACACAGGGCTCTAAAGCCAAAGCTGGTAACTTCCCTGTTTTGGAAGCTTTACGAGTTTTCTTAAAGTCCATAAAAATAAACATTTGATTTGACAAGTCTTTCTTTTTGAGTTGGAAACCAAAGTGTACCATGGCACTGGTGAAATTGTCTACATCTTCAAAACGGCTTTCTACCTCTGCAATCATCAATAAACCTCTGGAAAGAGAAAAGTAAAAATGAGTTCAATCCATAGCAGGATTTCTGAGACCAGACTCACCCAAGATTTAAACTTACCCATTTTTAAGAACTCTGTTAGCCTCTAAAACAAAATCATTCAGGTTTGTCCCCATAAGGGATAAACAAAACACAGCAACATCCACACTTTCCATGAGTAATGGGGTGTGGGCCATATCACAGGCAACAACTTCAGGCTTTGATGAAATAAGATCCAATGAGTGAACCTTCAAATGAGGTAAGGTTGCAGCAAGGCGAGCATCACCACACCCAAAGTCTGCCACTACAGTCTCCTTAGGAAGGCTAAATGGAAAGAGTAATACTGTTAAGTTACAATCAAGTTACAAGGAAAACATAACAACTAGAAGCATTAAGATACCTTGAAATTGATTGGATAATAACATCCAAGGGATTGACAGGCCACTGAGCAACTTGATTTCTATACCCTGAATGGTAAGCATCAAATGCATCTGGATCCTCTTTAAAGTACTTCATAGCTTCCCAGCTGTTTGTAGTATATAACTGCTCATTCAGCCATCTACAAAATAGAAGTAAGGACAAGGACCCTATAGTACAAGCTTCAAAAAACTTCAAGCTATTAAAAAATAATTTAATCTCTCCACTCCTACCGGAAACGGGATGATTTCAGTTGCTGAGTCATCTTTTCTCGTAAGGAAGTAGATGCATTCTTCTTACTCCTTTTCGGAGATACTGCGTCATCCCCAGCATCTAATCTATCTTGCAGTCTTTTCTTTTTAAGGTCATGTAAAGTTTTTGTCTCATCAATATTTGATTCCTGAAGGAGTTTAGCTATAACAACTTTCTTTCTACGTGATTTATCAGCAATGCTATCAGAATCAGTCAAAGTTAATGAAGGCTTATTTTTAGAATTTTGGCTATTTGAGTGAAGAGAAAATTTGGCGGAGGCGCTTGGAATATTCCCATCAACTGAATCTTCCAGCCCAGTCTTCTTCTTCCTCTTCCGACGCTTCTTCTTTTTTTCCAACTGAGTATCATTGTTTTTCAGAGGTGTTGATGAATCTGATAGAGATGTGTCAAAGGAAGGATTTGCTGTTCCCAATGCATCTTGATCATTTTTCACCGCTTGATTTAGATTATTCCCTGATGCTTGCTTTGCAATCTTTCTCATTTTCTTCTTCTTTTTCCTACTGAGAACTATCTCATTGCTATTATTGGCTTGTTCAAGTTCTTTCTTTTTGGCAAGAGCCTCTTTCCTCTTAAGCTTTCGTTCCTTTCTCTTCAGTTTGGCTTTTAGATTGGTCTCTGCAACTATCTCAGGACTTTTCAATGGAGAAGGTTCATTGGCAAGTGAGACTGTAACAGATCCGTCACTCTCTTTTTTCGCCTTCTTCGCTCTCCTACGTTTCTTTCGTATCTCAAGCACTTTCTCAATTTTTCCAAGTACCCTGTCTGTTTTTTCTTCAATTGCTTTGCCTTTTTTCGGAGAAACATTCTGACCATTTGATGGAGTTGTAACACTGCTTGCAGTCGACTGAAATTTCAGAAGCTTCTTCATTTTTAAATTTTGGCGTCTTTTCTGTCGCTTGGATAGACTTGCATCTGAGGGAGGAGTAATTGGGACTTCCTGACTACCATTTAGTTTTATTTTTGGTGGAGGAGGTGCAGAATCTCTCCTGAAGACAAAGGGAAATTTCTTTGCCTTTTTAGGTGCTTCCGTAGTGTCTGATTGATTACCTGTGTCATCAGCTGACGAAACTTTTACAGGTGAACCTGCCTTTTTGAGCAACTGTTTCTTTTTTCTTCTCCCACTTTTCTTCTGAGCAGAAGCCTAAAATTAAAATTAAATTTGTTTCAATTCATGGGGACATGCAAGTTGTTTTCTACAAGCTTTGTGCCTATTATACTTACCGTTGTGTCGAGAACTTTGCTACCCACATTTTCGGCGCCACCATCGTCCCACCGCGGTGCAGAGAAAATGCCCATTATGTTACTGATCTATTTTTCGCAAGAAAAATAACCACCGCACATAGAAAAGTTAACCTCACCACAACAAGCGGCTTCTTTTCTCGTCTGCTACTGCTACTAGCCAACGATAGCCAACGGAACCGGATGCTCCCTACGGACTGTGTTTGAACTTTACGGCGGGTGTTTCAAAAAGAGGCGCCAGTTGAGCAGTTGAGACTGAGACTCATGATTGGGTGTAGTGCGTTTTCAATCACCTTTTTTTAGGATTTCGAATTAGGAAGGGAACAGTTACCGTAAATAACTAAAAGGAAACGTTGTATACAGATTTTTAATCAATGTCATCACAACAATAAATAACAGTGTCCTTGTCCTACGCAACTTGCGTAGCTTTTAGGATTAACATTTTTCTTACAGCCATATAATTTTGACTAATTCTAAATTTTGTACATAAAATACACAATTAAATAAAAATTAAGAGAGGTGTACAGCACAATTCACTCAGCTAACTCTGCAATAATTATTCCACAGAAATTTTACATATCTGCACCAACTTTTTTCTTGGTTTGTAAAGGACTAATTTTTGCCATTCCATTACGTGCTCCTTCATCATGGAAGGAGGCGGGAAGGTATTGCAGTCTTCGGTGTCTTTGATTTTTATTGGTTCATTGTTTACATGTAACACACTTCCCCTCAGCCACAAGGAATGTGCTTTGCAGCTTTCTTGTTCCTGACACAGGTAATTTTGCAGCATACTCTGTAGAGTTGTGAGGCATCATGTTTATAGCAGGAGCGTAAATGATTCAA